GAGACCAGCCTGGCCAACATGGGGAAACCCCGTCCCTACTAAAAATACAAAAATTAGCTGGGCGTGGTAGTTACTTGCCTATAATCCCAGCTGCTTGGGTGACTGAGGCAGGAGAATTGCTTGAACCCAGGAGGTGGAGGTTGCAGTGAGTCGAGATTGTGCTACTGCACTCAGCCTGGGTGAAGGAGTGAGACTCTGTTCCAAAAAAAACAACAACAAAAAAATCAAAACACATACAAACACAAACAAAAACAGGGAAGGGGACAGGCCATGTGGCCCCTGCTGAGATTTGAGGGCCTGGTGGGCTGGAGCTGCTCGGAGACTGTGATGGTGGCTCCTGGGCAGGGAACCTCCATATCCCTCCTAGATCTGTTTCCCCATTTGTGAACAGAGGTTAGAGAGTGGAGGGAGGGAGTCAGCCAAATGGAGATCCTGACGCTTCCACATTGATTCCCACCCTCCGCTCCCCAATGACTGGGAGGAAACTTGGCTTCCAAGACGAGGAAGCCGGACTGAGGGACTGGGTTGGGACCATAACCCCTAGTGCACCCCAAATCACCCAGTCAGCTTTGCAGCACAGTGAGAAGGGAGTCTCAGCTCCCCTGGGACAGTCTCTGGGCTGGAACTGCTGCATCTGAGGGAAAAGGGGGTTGGAAACTCAGACACCTGCATTAAAGGGAGAAGGGACTGGGGCCTGGACTCCTGGGTCTGAGGGAGGAAGGAAAGGGGGCCTGGACTCCTGGGTCTGAGGGAGGAGGGGCTGGAGGTCCCAGACTTCTGGGTCTGAAGTAGGAGGAGCTGAGCGCTGGACTCCCAGGTCTGAAGGATGGGGCTGGGAGCCAGAATTGGGTCTGAGGGAAGAAGGCCTGGGGACCTGGACTCCTGGGTCTGAGGGAAGAGGGGCTGGAGGTCCCAGACTTCTGGGTCTGGGGGCCTGGACTCCTGGGTCTGAGGGAGGAGGGGCTGGGGGTCCCAGACTTCTGGGTCTGAGGGAGGAGGGGTTGGGGGCCAGGACTCCTGGGTCTGAGGGAAGAGGGGCTGGAGGTCCCAGACTTCTGGGTCTGAAGTAGGAGGAGCTGAGCGCTGGACTCCCAGGTCTGAAGGATGGGGCTGGGAGCCAGAATTGGGTCTGAGGGAAGAAGGCCTGGGGACCTGGACTCCTGGGTCTGAGGGAGGAGGGGCTGGGGGCCTGGACTCCTGGGTCTGAGGGAGGAGGGGCTGGGGGTCTGGACTCCTGGGTCTGAGGGAGGAGGGGCTGGGGGCCTGAACTTGTGGGTCTGTGTGGATGGTCCAGGAGCCAGACCCATTTCTCAGGAAGCCCCATGGGGTGACTCCCTGTGTTGCCCATCTCTCCTGTAAACATCCTGGTGGGTACTGAGTGGGCCCCGGGCTGCCTTCCTCAGAGATGACACAGGTTAGAGGGGTCTCTGCAGGGGGCCGGGGGTGGGGGTCAGAGGGGTTGTGGGGCTGAGGCCCGGCAGCTGCTGACCGTTTCCTGTGTCAACATCATCTGGACCCACTTCCCAATTCCCGGGATTCCTCAGGGATCAAGGAGGGGGTGGGGGGTGGGGCCGCCTGGCCTTGGACCGCGGCTTGGGACTGGGGGGGCCCCCGCCGTCACGGCCCTCACCGCTAATGACAGGTTTGGGCTGCCTCTGTGGCCAGCCTGCCCCGTCACCCCCCAGAGGCCAGACAGGACCCCCCAGGGACTGACAGACGGACACACACACAGCCTGGGACCTGCTGACCTCACACCCTGCTGGCTCAGCTTCCCCCCGGGGCCGCGCGGGAGCCAGGACTCCCTGGTCATCCCCCACGTCCCCGTGGCTTCTCCCCAGTGTCTCTGACCACCCCAGGCTTTGTGCCCCGGCTGCCCAGTCTGTTTCCGAGCCCCCAAGCTGGTCTCTAGCTTCCCCTGGGTTCCACAGCCCTGGCTGCTTCCTGGGGCCTTTGTCGCCCCTGTCTCTCCAGCTCTGTTTGTCTCTGTCATCTGTCACTTTCTTGGGATTCCCTAGTCCTGCCTCTGGGTCTCTTTTCCGATCTTCATCTCTTTCTCTCTCTCTTTCTCTTCTTTTCACAGAAGTAGCCCAATGTGTCCCACCCTGATCTGGGCAGACCCAGGAGTTGCCAATAACTCCCAGCCCCGCCACTCTGCACCCGCCCTCTACCTGCACCTCCTGCAGCCACGCTGTCGGGATGGAGTCTGAGCCCACAACCCAGGGCTGGGGACCCAGACGAGACAGGAAACTGGCAGCAGCTGGGACCCTGGATTCGTCCCAGACCCATGACCTTCCCCATACATGCTCCCCAAAGTGTAGAAGGGCCACAAGATTCTCCTCTACCTTTCTTGAACTAGAATTTAGGGCCCAGACTCCTGGGTCTGAGGGAGGAGGGAGCTGGGGCCTGGACTCCTTGGGTCTGAGGGAGGAGGG